GGTGTAGCTGAAAAAGGTTTTCTTTCAATCATACTACGTTCGAACGGAACGGTTGGACATTCATCGATGCCACCATATGAAACATCAATTACAACATTGGCTAAAGCTGTGTCCAAGTAAATATTTAATATTCTAGCTGAAAATGGTGATAATTTTTCATCTTTTTCTCAAGATTCACATCAGATACACATAAAAATTATTTTGGTTATGGACCTGAACGACGAATGTTTGAAGAATTTGCTCGATATGTAAGTTGCTGTATTCTCTGTTTTGTTTTAGTTTATTTATAAATATAATTGATTTTGATTAGGCTACTTATCCGTACAAATTATTCTATAGTAATTTATGGCTATTTGGTCCAATCATTGCCAAAATTATGTCCGGTAAACCAAGCAATAATGCGCTAGTTCGTACAACAACTGCACCGACAATTATCGATGGTGGTTTTAAGGTCAGTTAACATTCATTGATATTGATTGATTATTAAACATTTTTTGAAAAAAATACAGGAAAATGTATTACCAAGTGAAGCAACAGCAGTGATAAATCATCGTATACATCCTATGCAAACAGTATCGGATGTTATAGAATATGATCGACGATTAATCAATGATGAACGAATTGAATTAACAATTAAAGGTGATTCGATTGAACCGCATCCAATATCACCATATGATCAACAATCATTTGGTTTCGAAACAATACATAAATCTATTCAACAGGTATTTGCCAATACTGTTGTCATACCGGCAATTATGGTTGCAAACACTGATACAAGGTATCAATTATTGAATGATTGATTAAATTAGTTTTTGAATTGATATTTTCTTTTCTTTTTTCGTAGATGGTATTTACCATTCACTAAATCTGTTTATCGATTTTCGCCAGCATTTTTGACGCAAGAAACAACCAAACTATTTCATGGCCACAATGAACGTATAACGATTGATAATTATTTGAAAGTTGTTAATTTTTATCATCATATTATGATCAATTCGGATCGTAAACATTTGGATCCGGCCAATGTTAAAGATGAATTTTGAAATTTTTTATTTGAAAATTAAAATTTTGTTTTTGCTTTGATTTTTATTTTGATTTTTTTAAAAGAACATTCGAATTCGAATGTTATTGACTATTGAGGATTTAATGATGATGATGTTTATTGTTGGTTAAGACCAACAAAATAAAACAAAACCAAACATTATTTGAATGCCATCTATTGTTTCATACTGAGTATATTTGATCAAATATACAAAAAAAAAATCCTATTTATTATCATTAAAATTATCTCAACAGCAAAATAAATCATTATTTGATCAATCAAATGTACTCATCGAATCCTCTATATATGGCTAGAGGACAAAGCTAATGACAATAACAAAATAATGGCAATTTTTACCGGTAAAATATTGTCATTGTTAATGGTAATTATCATACCATTATTTGTATTATTTTTTCGTGCTGAAATCTATTTCCCGTATCCGAATGGATTACAAATTTGCAATCAAACACATGAACCGATTCAAGGTGATGACCTAATCGAACGTTTTGCTCAGGCTATACGTATCAAAACGATTACCTTGGATAGAGGTGTTTATGATCGCGAAGAATTGTTGAAATTTGCTCAATTTTTACGTAAAAGTATGTATGATTATGATAGTTCCGGATGATCACCAAATCGCAATGAAAATTTTGCAATGAAATAGATTTTCCAACAATTTATTCATCACCATTGGTTACCTATGAAACGGTCAACAATTATAGTCTTTTATATCATGTAAAAGGAAGTGATTCATCGTTAAAACCATATCTACTTTGTTCACATATGGATGTTGTACCAGTGGAATTAGATAAATGGGATGTTGATCCATTCGGTGGTATCATCAAAGATAATAATATCTATGGTCGTGGTACAATCGATGTTAAAGATACTCTTATGGTATGTTAGCCGGTACCATTATCATCATGATAATAATGATAATTCATTTTGCAAAAGGCCATTATGGAATCATTGGAATATTTATTGAAAAATAATTTTCAACCACAACGATCTTTTTATATTGCATTCGGTCACGATGAAGAAGCAACGGGTAAAGATGGTGCCCAGGAAATTGCCAAAACATTGCATCGTAAAGGAATCAAAGAATTTGAATTTCTTCTCGACGAAGGAATGTTTGTTTTTTCCGATGGTTTTCCTGGCATCAAACAACCGGTAGCATTGGTTGGTGTAGCTGAAAAAGGTTTTCTTTCAATCATACTACGTTCGAACGGAACGGTTGGACATTCATCGATGCCACCGTATGAAACATCGATTACAACATTGGCTAAAGCTCTGTCCAAGTAAATATCACTATATCTATCCTTGGTTAATTTCATAACTGATGATAATCTATAAATACAATCCACTTAGATTCACATCAGATGCGCATATCAATTATTTTGGTTATGGTCCTGAACGACGAATGTTTGAAGAATTGGCTCGTTATGTAAATTGATATATTTTTCTTCCTTTACGAATCTAATTGATTTCGATTAGGCTTCTTATCCATATAAACTGTTCTATAGTAATTTATGGCTATTTGGTCCAATTATTGCCAAAATTATGTCAAGTAAACCGACTAGTAATGCATTTGTTCGTACAACTACCGCACCGACTATTATCAATGGTGGTTTTAAGGTCAGTTTTCAAAAATAGTATTGATTGTTATCAATTTTTATTCACAAAAAATATAGGAAAATGTATTACCAAGTGAAGCAACAGCAGTAATAAATCATCGTATACATCCAATGCAAACAGCAATGGATGTTTTCGAATATGATCGTCAATTAATCAATGATGAACGAATTGAATTAACAATTAAAGGTCATTTCGTTGAACCGCATCCAATATCACCATATGATCAACAATCATTTGGTTTCGAAACAATTCGTAAATCTATTCAACAGGTATTTGCCAATACTGTTGTCATACC